ATTATGATATTTATATAGCGCCATCAAATTCCACAGCGCTTTACAATGGGTGGACGCAGGGCCGCCACCAGAAATTTTGGGGCCCCTAACTCAGCTCAGGATCTGGCCCCCTGGGGCCCGCCTCCAAATACCTCCCACTGGGTCCGCCTCCAAATACCGCCCACAGGAATACACACACAGACACAAACACACACACTGATACAAAAGGACACAGATACAGACACACATACTGAAACAGACATACAGGCATACATACTGACACACACATACTGTGACATACACACAGGTATACATAGTGACAGACAGACACATACTAACATACATACAGACACACATGCATGAGGACATAAAGACACATACATACATACAGACACCGACATACATACATACATACATACACACATACATTCATCCATACAGTCACTGACATCCATACACACATACATTCATAATGGCATACAGACATACACAGACATACATTCATAATGGCATACAGACATACATACATACATTCAGACTGACATACATGCATATATACAGACATACTGACAGACATACATGCATACAGACATCCATACACACATACACACAGACATACGTTCATACTGATATGCAGACATACATTCATACTGACATACAGACATACATATATAATGACATACTGACATACATATATACATACATAGACATACATACAGGCAGACATTCATGCATACAGACATACATACATACAGACATACATACATACATACACAGACATACATACAGACAGACATACATATATAGATATACATGCATGCATACAGTCAGACAGACAGACATACATACAGACACATACAGACATACATACATTGACATACAGACAGACATACATACATAGACATACATGCATACATACAGACATGCATACACAGACATTCATACATAGACATACAGACAGACATACATACAAAGACATACATGCATACAGACAGACATCCATGCATGCATACATACATACATACACATACAGACAGATATACATACATACAGACAGACATGCATGCATACATACATACATACACATACAGACAGATATACATACATACAGACATGCATGCATACATACATACACACATACACACACACACATACATACATAGACATACAGACAGACAGACAGACATACATAGACATGCATACAGAGACATACATACATAGACAGACATACAGACAGACATACATGCATACAGACAGACATGCATGCATACATACAAACACATACATACAGACAGACATACATACATACATACACATACATGCATACAGACAGACATACATGCATACAAACACACACAGCTCATTTTCCAGCCACCCTACTGTCTCTTACCTTTTCTTTGCAGGAGGGTGGCTGGGGCTGATGGGAGTCGGCACGGCTCACGCCCACAACAGCAATTTCCTATTTGTACTTATAGCCCTATAACTTGCAAAAAAAAAAAAAAGCATGTAAACACTAGGTGTTTTCAAACTCAGGACAACATTTTGTATCTATTTAGCAGTTTCTTTTCATTAGCTTTCATAGGTAAGTAAACGATTTTTTAAGCAAAAGTCAAAAAACATTTTTTTTTCACCATATTTTATTATTATTTTTTTAAAGTAAATTATATGACATGATACAAATAATGGTAAGTAAAGAAATCCTTTTTTTGTCCTGAAAAAAACTATATATAATTTGTATGGGAACGGTAAATGAGAGAGAGGAAAATTACAGCTAAACACAAACACCACAAAAATGTTAAAACAGCCCTGGTCCTTAACGTACAACATGGCCAAAACAGTCCGGTCCTGAAGGGGTTAAAACACATAATTGGTATTAACAATGTACCAAAAAAAACCAATTTAGTTTTAACCCACATTGTCATTGTTCAGACACAGTGAGGGAGATCGTGCTGGTGGGATCGCACTACAAACATAGTTCAAATTCATTTCAACCAAGTGTGTCCACACACAAACAGCTCAAATAGATAATCAAGAGTGTGCACTATATAACTAATACAATAACAAAATTTAAATAATGAGTTAATTCATTTCAGTGTCCTTTCTAGATAATGCACAAAATATTTAGCTTTCTCAGCCAATTGTTGTATTTATATTTCATAGACTGATAAACATGTAAGTGTGTATTTAAGGTTACACACATGCATGCTCACTGAAGTTTCATAGGGGACATTATACTGGTTCTACAGGGATTCTTTTTGTAAAAACATAATACAAACCTACTGTGCAAGTGCCATGCAGGCTATGTGTCTCTCACTGATAGTAATTGGAAATCTGTAGACTGTGATCCATGGGAGACATGCAGTTTTCTCATTTGTCCCATAAACCTCTGTGCAGAGGTTTTCTATCATCATGCGAGCCACTGACTCCCCCACAGAAGATTATTGTGAACACAGGGAGTGTAGTATATGAACACTTGCTCAAATTATAGTTTAGTGCATATATACCTCAAACACATTTGGAAGCCATAAAACTGTTTAAGATGGCCATCTGCACAATTATGCATTAGGGAGTTGTTGCCCTGTACCAGAATAGAAAAAGAAAAGCAAACTGAACAAAGTACACTGATCGGCCACAACATTAAAATCACTGGCAGGCGAAGTGAATAACATTGATTATATCATTACAATGGCACCTGTCAAGGGGTGGGATATATTAGGCAGCAAGTAAACAGTCTTGAATTTCATGTATTGGAAGCAGGAAAAATTGGCAAGCAAAACATTCTGAGTGACTTTGATTAGCAGTGGCGTACATAACGGGGAAGCAGGGGTCGCGGCTGTGAGCGGGCCCGGACCACCAGGCGGCCCGGCCGCCCTGCGAACCGGTATGTATGCCACTGTAGCCAGCTTCTTCTCCTGGGGGGCCCAGGAGCTGGCCACCTCAGGGCCCCCAGAGGCTGGCCCTGGTGTCACTGGGCGGGCTGGCTGGCTGGCGGGCATGTGTGGGTGCACTCTCCCTGGCTGAGTGCTTCCTCTTCAGCTCCCTCGCGCACCGCACTGATACTGGAGCCGGAAGATGACGTCACCTTCCGGCTCTGGCATCAGTACGCGGTGCGCGAAGGAGCTGAACAAGGAGCACACAGGGGAGAGTGCTCCCTTGCGCGCCCGCCAGCCTGCCTGCCGGGTGACACCACTGGACCCCAGGGAATCCCCTCAGCACTCCCAAAGGTAAGGAGGCTGGGGAGGATTTTTTTTTTTAAACCTGTGTTAGAGTGTGTTAGTGTGTGTGTGTTAGTGTGTGTTAGTGTTAGAGTGTGTGTGTTAGTGTGTGTGTGTGTGTGTGTTAGAGTGTGTGTGTTAGAGTGTGTCAGTGAGTGAGTGCCTGCCGGGTGACACCACTGGACCCCAGAGAATCCCCTCAGCACTCCCAAAGGTAAGGAGGCTGGGGAGGATTTTTTTTTTAAACGTGTGTTAGAGTGTGTTAGTGTTAGAGTGTGTTAGTGTGTGTTAGTGTGTGTGTTAGTGTGTGTGTGTTAGAGTGTGTTAGTGTTAGAGTGTGTTAGTGTGTGTTAGTGTGTGTGTTAGTGTGTGTGTGTTAGAGTGTGTTAGTGTTAGAGTGTGTGTGTGTGTTAGTGTTAGAGTGTGTGTGTGTGTGTGTGTTAGAGTGTGTCAGTGAGTGAGTGCCTGCTGGGTGACACCACTGGACCCCAGGGAATCCCCTCAGCACTCCCAAAGGTAAGGAGGCTGGGGAGGATTATTTATTTATTTTTTTTAAACGTGTGTTAGAGTGTGTTAGTGTGTGTTAGAGTGTGTTAGTGTGTGTGTTAGTGTGTGTTAGAGTGTGTTAGTGTTAGAGTGTGTGTGTGTTAGTGTGTGTGTGTGTGTTAGAGTGTGTGTGTGTTAGAGTGTGTGTGTGTGTTAGTGTGTGTGTTAGTGTTAGTGTGTGTGTGTGTTAGAGTGTGTCAGTGAGTGTGTTACTGTGTGTTTCTGTTACTGAGTGTGTTAGTTTGTGTACGTCTGTTAGTGAGTGTGTATGTATGTCTGTCACTGAGTGTGTCTGTCAGTAAATGTGTGTGTCTTTTAGCTAGTGTGTATGCGTCTGTTCGTGAGAGTGTGTTTGTCTTATGCACTTACCTTTCTCCAGCACCGGACTCCCTTGGCGCTGGGGATCTTTCCGCCTCGATCCGCCTCTCAGCTCCGTATGCGCATGCGTGGCAAGAGCCCATAGGAAAGCCCATTACTCAATGCTTTCCTATGAACGTTCAGCGTCTTCTCACTGTGATTTTCACAGTGAGAATCGCGGAAGCTCCTCTAGCGACTGTCAATGAGACAGCCGCTAGAGGCTGGATTAACCCTCAGTGAAACATAGCAGTTTCTCTGAAACTGCTATGTTTTCAACTGCAGGGTTAAAACTAGAGGAACCTGGCACCCAGACCACTTCATTGAGCTGATGTGATCTGGGTATCTGTAGTGGTCCTTTAAGTGTATGTGTATCTGCATGCAATGGTGTACATACCGTGGTCGCAGGGGTCACAGCCCTGCGGCCAGG